ACTGCGAATCATGTCTTGAAAGTTATATATATAGCCGAAGAAAGTTAAGTAGTGGTAAGCTGTTTTCCATTTACTGATCAAATTTTTAATTCATTTATTGATCTCTCCATTAAAAAAAGCTATTTGTGATCTGAGGTGGGCATTTCTATATGTGTGTGTCTGTGATCGAATTCTTATCCAGAAGCAGCTAATTAATTCTAATATATCGATGAGGTTTGTTTGGAAAATGCCAAGTGGGATGTTTCCTTATAACCAGCTGTCTATGAAAACATGGATAGCAGTATAATCTTGTTTTCGGTTTTGGTTAATGGTTTCCCGATTAGCATAATAATATATGCATACCAAACACTCCACCTTCCCTTATTACGTTTTAGCATTTAATTAATTTAATTTGTGTTTTATTATTATTATTATTATTCTTATCTTAAATTGGAGTATATAGTTGAACTAGTTAGATAGCAATTGTTAGGAAAATGTTGATATGGATGTTTTCGTGATAAGCAAGAATGGTTGATTAGTTGAGTCTTGGATAACTCTAGCTTTCAGCTCTCTGTGTGTATCTGTTTCCACATTTATAAGCTACCCATTTATTTATTCTATGTATAACTTTTTTGATATATTCAATACTTTTAGATTAAATTTAAATATTACTAGACTTGACTGGAATTGTAACTCTTCTTATTTAATTAAGAAAAATCAATTCATTTTCAGTCAATCAAGTGTACCAAATTAATCTTAACTGTAAATCACGCGTATAAATAATCTCTCTGAAATTTTCATAAATAACCCCCGTATTGTTAATTTTTAATTTATCATGTTGCAAGATTAAGGGACATTTTACGGACCATTTATTTTTATAAATTTTTTTGTAATTTCCTTACATTTTAAATCATATATTACTATATATGTTCCGATCCCTTTAGAAACAACAGGTTAATTAACAATAAAAAAATTTGTGCCATAAATTTAAGTATTTAGGAATTTGGTATTGTACTTTCTACATTCTATCATGTATATATACTTCTCTAGTCCTATTTATAGGGCAAAAAGAGAAGATTTTTTGGTCTTATTTATAAGTCATTTTATTAAAATTTCAGTGTGAATATACTATTTTGTTATTCATTTATTATAGTATAGGTAGTTATCTCTTTTAAAAGGTATATATATTAAATATGGGTAAAGTTAAAAAATTATTATACTTTAATGGAGAGTTAATACATTTTAAGATTTTTCTAGATCTATGTAAAATATATTTGAAATATCTTATAAATAGGATCAGAGTATATAATCTCACCATATTTTTCATGAACACTAAGAACATAAAGGACATGCTTTAAATTAAAGACCTAAAAGTTACAAAGAATATTGAATATGTAAAAGGGTTCATATTATTGTTAGGTTACAATTAAAGCTTAAAAAAATTAAGAGCATCTTTGCTTCAATCATCTTCTATTTCCGTACCACGCCTTTCTAAGATTTAAATCTTTTATCTTTTTTAAAAATAAACATGCTGATGTAGGATGGAAAAAAAAAAAAAAGTGTACATTATGCATGGAGCCAGTCTTGGGGCATTTGGATCCGAAGTAATAAATATTTGCTTGGAGTTGAAGGATCCAGAGATGCTAAATTGCGGACTCGGTAGGGGGACCGGGTCGTCAATAGTTGATGCGAAATGACAAGGCTGCCCATTTGACTTTAACGCTGCAATTAGAAGGGGAAGTGGGTCCAGACTCCAGAGGCGCACCAACTCCACGTAGTGACGAAACTGCCCTCACGTTATCACCCTCCCGCGGTTTTGATCTTTGAAAGCTCTCATTATATTATTAATTACATGTGCGTATGAATCTTATGGCGCACACAATATTTGAGTCCGAGTTTATAGGAAGATTCCCTCCTATCTTCTTCTCCCTTCTTTTCTCTCTTACTTACTATTCATTACAAATTTATATCATACCAGACAATTACATAAATATTCAATTTTCCCGTTACTTACAACTTTAAATTAGCCCATTCACTTGCTAGTTTCCTGCTCTGACGTTGCTGCTTTTTTAATATGGTAAATTAAAGTTGTGATAAATTGGTTTTTACAAGGTTATCAAGTACAGAGGAAATTACAGGGTTTAAAGATTGCTTATAAAAATAATTATCTCATTGAGGAGCTAACATCATTTCTACCTCAATCTTAATTACACTTTCTTTTAATTATTTTCCCCTTTCTTTTTTTTAAATATATCAGTACTTTAAAATTAAACTAAGCTAATTAGATATTAAACCCATTGACACAGAGTTTATCGGATTGATTGTAACCAGATTATAGTGAAGTATAATTAATATTTTAAATTTCTTACATATAATACAAAAATAAAAGGTAATTTGTATCCGTTTTCCGTTGATTTTTTATTTCAATTTTTAGGACATGAAACAAGCTGTATATCGAGTCCAATCCATTTTTCATTAATACCCGACAATATATAATTGACCTTTTGATCTATTAACCCCATTACAAGTCTCTCGTCAATTTAATATTAAAATTTTTTGGCCAGCCAATTTAATACAACATCTGATATTTAATATAAGAGCTAATTTAACATTTAATTTGATCCTAAATATAAAATCCAAATCCATTTTGTCTCTTATATTTATTTATTTTCTTAAAAATCCCTATAGTAGATGTACCTATTAAAAATTTTATCAAATGGTAGTTATAGCTAATGCACATAACTAGTAAAGATATTTTTTAAAAAAATAATATATATTTATTATAAATAAATAACTTAAAATTTTTTTAATACAATCAAATTAGTTAATTAACCATTATATTAAGAATAGGAGAAGACAGTATTAAATTTAAGTTTACGATGCGAAACAATTAAATGAGCTAAGCGATTCGTGTGTGCATGGGCGTGAGGCGCCCCGGAGGGAGGGGAGGCAGGGAATAAATTGTAGAGGCCTTCTGTAATTGTATGGAAAAATAAAAGAGGATTACTTTTTTTTTCAATCGGGTTAATAAAATTTTTGTTTCCTCAAATTTATTTTTATTTTGATAAGAACCAGTGTTTTAGACTCAAAAAAATTGAAAAATCAAAACCTATAATTTAAAACTTGAATGGCTAATTTTGATGCATCAAAGATTATATTAGCCTTTTTTAATTTACAGAATTAACCGTTTCGACAGGCACACCGTGTTCTTTTGACTAGTTTGCTGCATATCCAAAGAAAAATTAAGACAAATTGGTGACTTTTAAAACAGTGTTAATGTAGAGAAGTCAGGGGGTTGATTATTCACTCTTTTTTCCTCTGATCACGTTTATGTCAGGACTATTTTAGCATTTTACCAGGCCCCAAAGTGTATATGCTATATCAATTAATGGTATGTAGTTTTTGGGCTTTTTGGTCATTGACACTTTAAATTACTTGCCTAACCATATCTCTAGGAAATAGTAGGAACTAGGAAACAGAAGAGAGTCAAAAACAGAATCGAAATCATCAGATTTGCAGACATTGAAACGTGTCCCAATATATGTCCTGTATTAAGTATTAACATATATTAATATAGAACTATAATTGATACCCTAGAGATTTTTTTTTTTTTGCCAAGATACCCTAGAGAAATAATCTATAAAAGTTTGCCTCCTCAACATTAGACATTTAGACTTCAATCTTCCATTATTTTTTCTCTCTATCTCCTAACATTTACAAGAGAGACGAGTGAGAAGCTATTTAATTAGTTGCTAATTTATTTTTTAAAATTACATATTCACGATTAAACAAGTGAGTATAAAAGTATAATCTAACTTCATACGACTTCCTTTATTTCGAGATATAATTTTAGTTTTTATAATATCGAATAAGTTTGACTAATTAATCTTTATCCACACTAGCCTTAATTAAAGTTATGCAACCAGGATGCCTGGGCTCAACCAAAAAATGCTACTCCTCCGGTCCTTAATATAAGACCAATTTAACTAATTTGATTAGATTAAGGAAGTTAGGTAAGTTAGTTAATTATAAGAAAAGTGACACATTTTTCCTAAAACACCATAATCATCTTTCTTAATACCCTCTCTCCCTCTTCTACTTGAGTATGGTTGAGGGAGTATCTATATGGGTAATTTAGAGAAAATTGATAAATATGAGAAATAGGTCTTATATTTAGAACCAAAACTAATTCAAGAATTGGATCCTATATTAAGGACCGGAGGAGTATATAATTAGAATATAAAGAGTCTCATATAATGTTAAAGGAAGTTCTATCAAATTATTTCTTTGCTTTATTTTTTATTTTATCCAAATTTAATACCAACAATCTATATCAGTATTTTGTAAAACTCAATTTTAATTAAAAATTATCGTTAATAAATTTTTAAAAACCATCTTCATTGTAATTTCATGTCACAATATTATTTAAATAAAAAAATTCCGGCCATATTTTAATCACATCGGCGCCAATACTACATATTCAGGCCAAAAAAAGGGGGCCAAATTCTTTCAAATATAAAAATGGGAAATAAATTGTCCGTCTTGTGTCTAGAACATATGACCCAATAATGATGCAAGAGAAGGCTTGCTAATTTTTCGCATTAATGTTTTTCTATGTCTCTTGAAATTAACATTTTAGATTAATTAAAATGGCAGAATTTTCAAAATACGGAAGCGAAATTATGAGGCACGTTTTGGAATTATGCATGACTTTAACCCCATCCGCCTTTAGAAAATGAAAGGAAGCATTCGGGAAAGTGGGTTTCGGCAAAATAAAATCGTCACATCCTCAAAGCTCCCTCTCTCTCTCTATGCTTTGTTTGCTTTTTCAAAATTTTCAGCACAGAAGCCTACAAAGTCAAGGAGGGCGCCAGGGGCACCCTCGTCATTTCCCCCTCAACCAACTTTCATCGGATTAGAATACTCTTCACTCGTTTTAACCTTAAACAATTCTCACATCAATATCTGCCCCTCCCATTTTCTTCCTTCCTATATATACACAGGCACGGCCACAGACTTGGGGCATAAGATCAAACACTCGCAAGAAACTACCAGAAGAAAAGATCAAACTTTCATTCTCATTTTCTACGAGCTTCATATATAGATATATATATATATGTGAGATTGTAGATTGACGACGGTCGACGAGAGGTGATTAAGATTATAGTATGGGTTTGAGCTCGATATTTGGGAGTTGCTTCAAGGGGGAGGGTCAGGCGGCGGTGCCGGCCTACAAGGCCAAGGTGGTGGCCACCAAGCAGAGTTCGTACCCTTGGGTTTCTGTGTCGGATTTGAGCAACCCGATCAGCGCGTCGCTGTCTGAGGATCTGTCGGTGTCGCTGGCCGGATCGAATCTGTATGTGTTTTCGCTGGCGGAGATGAAGCTGATCACTCAGGGTTTCTCGTCCGGTAACTTTCTCGGAGAAGGTGGGTTCGGACCCGTGCATAAAGGCTTCATCGACGACAAGCTCCGGCCGGGTCTCAAGGCTCAGACCGTCGCCGTTAAGCTCTTGAACCTGGACGGCTCTCAGGGCCACAAGGAGTGGTTGGTGAGTTCTTTCTTTCTTTGTTCTTTTTTTTCCCCACCTTTTTTTACCTGTTTTAACTTTTTCGCTACATTCCAAAATAACTTTCATTATTTCTTCACCTTCAATTATTGTGTGCGCTTTATGTATGTGCCTTACAGCTAATGAAAATGCCAGAAAGAGAATAATGGATAAACAGATAATATTCATATTTTTATTTTTAAAGAAGCAATACAATATAGATATATTATTGTCACATTTCCAAGTATAGGTTGAATAAATTTTAATTATGCAAAAACTTCAAGTAAACAGCGCCAAGCATGTAAATATTATTTTGGTAAGATGGCGAGTGAGAGGATGGAATAAGAAAGTTTCAAAAACTAATTAAAAAAGCAACACTGTCTGGTTTTAAATATGTAAACCCAACTAAAAAAATTTGTGATCAAAAGCATCAGGAAATTCTATGTATCGAAGTTTGAAGCCAGCCTCATTTTTTTCCTTCAAAAATCTTAAAAAAATATACTAGTGTCCATTATTTTTGTGCCGCCATGATTGAATAGATTGAATAGTATTATGTTTAAGGAATCGTTTTCGGACAGCGAGCAGTGACCCTCTATTGTTTGTTTTTTTTAAAATCAAATTGCAGACGGAAGTTGTTTTTCTGGGCCAACTAAGACACTCACATCTCGTCAAACTGATTGGATATTGCTGCGAAGAAGAACACAGGCTTCTGGTCTATGAATATCTGCCCAGAGGCAGCTTAGAGAATCAGCTCTTCAGAAGTAAGATATCTATCTATGTATATATCTCATATATAATTTCCTTTTCTTGATCAACTCAAACTTATTCATTTTCTGCAATTAATTACAGGATACTCAGTATCATTGCCATGGTCAACAAGAATGAAGATTGCAGTGGGAGCTGCAAAAGGTCTAGCCTTCCTTCATGAAGCAGCCAAACCAGTCATTTACAGAGATTTCAAAGCTTCAAACATCTTACTAGACTCAGTGAGTGTCATATAGCTAGGACTACTTATAATAGTTTCTGTCCAATAATATTCACTAACCATTTGAAGCTCGTGTCATTCTTCAGAATTACAATGCAAAGCTATCTGATTTTGGGTTGGCAAAAGATGGCCCCGAGGGAGACGACACCCACGTGTCGACCCGAGTCATGGGAACTCAAGGCTACGCGGCTCCGGAATATGTCATGACGGGTCATTTGACATCAAAGAGTGATGTTTATAGTTTCGGGGTGGTTCTGTTAGAGCTTCTAACAGGAAGAAGATCGGTGGACAAAACCAGGCCGGCCAGAGAACAAAACCTAGTGGAATGGGCAAGGCCGATGCTTCACGATACAAGGAAGCTGGGAAGGATCATGGACCCTAGACTTGAAGCTCAATACTCTGAGATGGGTGCGGCCAAAGCGGCGGCATTGGCTTACCAGTGCTTGAGCCACAGGCCTAAGAACAGGCCAACCATGAGCCAAGTGGTCAAGACCCTGGAGCCACTTCAGGACTTCGACGACGTCCCCATCGCGCCCTTCGTCTACACTGTTCCCGCCGGCGATCTTAACGATTGCAGCGAGCCACCGCCAAGAGAGAGAAAGAATCATCATCGTCGTCACAAACACCCTCTGCGATCACCCACGTCGCCGCCAGATCAGTCGGCGAATTCACAGTCCAGGAACGGAAGCTCGTCGTCAAGTGCAAGTGGCTCGAACTCACCGAATTCACGCCACAATAAGGCCAGGGGAGCCTGATAGAAAATAATCATGGAAAATGAATGGGAAAGAGAAAAGAGCGTGATCGACATTATTGTACATAGAGATGTTTTTATTATTAATTTGTATATTTCAGTCAAGAGAGCGTTTGATGTTTTCTTGGTGAAGAAATTTTGCCAGGCTAAGTGTAATGATGTTTTGAAAGGCAAAATATACAATTAAAAACAAAAGCAAAAAGAAATTGGAGTTGACGTGGTCAGCGGGCATGGTGAACATGCATGCTTGAGTAGTTAATTATGAATTATTATCAATAATATTTTTTCATTGTTTTATTTAATTACTTGATATTCTTGTGTTTGGTTGGAGAAAAATTGATTATGTTTGACTGGGCCATATGTCAGAGGGTGACCGGTTCAGAGAATATTATATGTGGAGAGTCACCAAACTCGGATTTGTTAAACAGAGATGTTCAATGAGATTGAGATACAGCTGAGCGATTTGACCAACCTACATGGAGACAAAATGGGGAATCGGTGATCAACATGCCGCTCTATAATCTAAATGAATATTCTTCACTAATTAAATGATCTTTGTTAAAGTGATCGACAAAAACCAAAAAAAAAAAGAAAGTAAAAATGTATCATTTCTTAATTAAATTTTTTATCCACTTCTTTTCCTTCTCCCTTTGTTTATGCACAATCAAATATGGCTTATATAGCAGCGTAAAAAATAAAATGCATGCTAAACCGTCTTCATCACTGGGACTGGTATGTCACTAAATGTGTGTGTATATGTGTGTCGTTGCTGAAGCGTTACCAATTTTTTATCTCATCCAATATCATTTTGAAAAAAAATTAGAAAATAATTCTCAATTGAACATTTTATTGGTAAAAAAAACCTATATCAGAAAATCAGTACTTTGTCTGGACAAAATTTACATAGTGCCATTACTTTCTGTATATAAAAATCTATGATGTCCTTCTCGCCAATAAAATTTGTAATAGAGGATTTGCCCCCCAATTTTCTCTATTATTATATTTTGTTCTAAGTCATGCTGATCCCATAAATAAACACGTTTTGAATATATTGAATAATTGCTTCTGGATTTTTAAAATGATTATATATACAGATACGTACATCAGGATTCATTTTAAAAATTATTATTTTTTACTCCTTTTCATCTCAAAGAAATAGTCACTGTTTGCTTATAAATTGTTTTTTTTTTAATAGTGTGTGTATGCGTGAACGATAACAATTAGATAAGAAATCTTGTTGAGTGCGACCAATAGTAATTATTTATTGAGAAGAAGCAAATCCAATTAAAAAAAAATATTCTTATTCTTGCTTCTCAATTTCTGCGGATGTAGAATAAATATATCATACTTGTATTAAGCTTCTTATTAAAAAATAAGATAAAATTTAAGCAACTAATTAATCACAAATTGATGTCCCAAGTTTGGTTAGCTATAGATAAGTCCTAACTCCCAAGAGATTAGAGTGTCATTTCTAATATATGCTAAATGACCAAAATACTGTCGAACTAGCCTTGTCCCGCCTAGTGGCATCGTTAAGTAATTAATAAATAATATTTACATTCGAACAGGTATTTATGAAAATGTCAAAACCCTGACATTTTATAATTTAAATATTATTATCTATATAAGTCCTCCTAGCTTGTGCAATTCAAAAAATGAATTAAAGTGTATTTTCAAGAATTTTTCAAATTTTACAGATGAATTTTCGACTGTCTATTAATGAGGAAAGTGCAATTTGTGGGGGAGTTGCGAAGGGTATTTAGAATAGTGATGGCGTGTGGATACTTAATCTATCAACCTTGTGAGAATCTTATTAGTAAGTAACAAAAAAAAGTTTTTTATTAAAAAAAAAGGGATTAATTTCTCTAAAATACTCTTTATTTAATAATTTATATTAAGAATTATCTTTATTCATAACGCGTGCAACTAAATATTCAACTTTCGCCATGTAAAACCATGTATATACCTAACTCCAATACAGATGGACAGTACGTAGACTTCTAGAATGTCTGCTAGTGCAAGACTATGATTGCTTATCCCTAACCCGATCGAGTTTGTAATTAAATTAGCTTTCACATTGTGAATTGAATTGAGATTTTAATTGTTAAATTCTTGTGACACACAATTTGAAAGCGAACTTGCCTTAACTATTGAAGTGACACACTAACCACGCATGCCGTGTGCGCATATATATCACTCTAAAGAGATTGATTTAGACATTCTTATTTGTGTTTTTCAACATCCCAGACTATGCTAGAGAAGCTGGGGTGATACAATAGTCTAATGACTGTTGCATTTATTGATTTATTTACTTATTTGAGAGAGAGAGAGAGAGAGCTCATATTTCTGGTAAATACTACCTCCGGTCCTTATTATAAGACCCCGTTTGACTTTTTGTTTGGTCCTAATTATAAGACCCCAATCCATTTTGTCTCTCATATTTATACATTTTTTTCCAAGATAATCCTTTTAATAATGATAGTTCTAGCCAATATACTTAATTAGCAAGGATATTTTAGGAATGACAACACTTATTTATTACAAATAACTAACTTAACTTATTTCCTTAATCTCCTCAAATAAGTCAACTGGGTCTTATAATTAGGACCGGAGGTAGTATATACTACATCCGGTCTTAATTATAAGATTTTGTCTGTAGGCTACAAACCACGTATTATAATTAGGACCGGATGTAGTGTATTGTAAAACTTAAATATACACTTTTCTAAAGAATAAAAACTATGCTATACAGAGTGTGATCTGAGCCTAACTTGCTCCTAAATAATATTTTTGATATAGCTGAAGAATAGGTCTAATTTTAGTAAAGTTCACATGAAATTTATCGTAATGCTGTTCTATGTTATGTGTGTGTAATTAAATTTCTATAAATAAACATTTATTTATAAATAATTTTAACAAAGCATTTAGAAATTATATGGATTTTAAAAGTATGATGAATGCGGACTTTAAAAATTTTCTTTTTCTTGGATCAACTTTTAATATAAACCTCTTTTTTTTTCCCGCCATATGAAGTGACTGTTTAACGGTGAAAGCAACTTTGAGTAGAGCCTTCACGATATAAACACACACGTGATTTTTTTTTATATATATAGCATAAATATTTTAACCTTAAATTAATTAAATATTTACTCAGACATCACTTCATTTTTAAAAAATAATTTGAGCTAGTCTCATGGAATCATAGGAACCTGTTTTGCTAGAAGAAATATCTAGTTTCAATTTTCTTTGTTTGTTTAGTGAACATCTAATTTTTCTAACACAATTACTTAAATACTATTGCCTCCGATCTCATAAGACTTTACTCATAGTTTACAAACGAGATTTTATAATTAAGACCCGAGGAAGTAATAAATATCAAATATTAAAACAATTATGTGCTTTTATGCGGGACAGCACAACGCGCAAACACCGTCCAGATTATTATCGCAGTCTTCCTTTGGTTGACTGAGTCAAGGGGAGGCCTTGTTTGGCTTTTTATTGCAGGCTTCCCATCCTTTGATATACAATTATATATTAATCGGGATATAATTTAATTTTTATATATTTATATATAATATGAAATTTATAAAGTCTTAAATTGTTTACCAGTTAAACATAGTACAACTCATTTTAAATTCCGTATAATATTTACTAACTTTGCTACCTTATGAAGGAAAATCAGTGAATAAATAATAAATATACCTTATGAAGCAGCCAGCAGCATACAGCCGCAGGCCACCTTCATATCCAAAAATTTTCAATAACTTAATTATTTTCGAATCTAAGAAGAATTTGCATTCATAAAATACATTGTTTATTCACTTGATCTTGGAGTTTGAAAAGCAAGAGGTCCAATTTAATTTTTTTTTTTCGTGCCTTACTAGATAAAACTCTTCGTAGTTAATTTCGTAATAATTTAAAATAATTTAAAATAAATTAATTTCAATAGGTACTAAGATCTATTGTGAATTTTGACTTCATATTATACATATTACAGAGTTGCATACTTGCACGATCTGAAATCTTTTCCTCCTTGTGCCAGCTACATAGAAGTATACCAGTTAAGTACTTAGCTGTCACTTCTAATATAATCCAGCTAAACAATATTTTTCTTGGGATTCAAATACATTTTTTGATCGATTTAGAAGTAATAAAATTGCACATATATAAAACCTAAATGATCCATAAGATATCTTATTATTTGATAACCTTTTAAAGTTAAATCATTTTCACAAAGATTTGACAGCTCTCATCAGATAGACTGATAATAATGGTGAAAGGAACAGAAACGTTGGCACATCTGTATATGCAAATCAGCACAAGAAATTGAGGAGGATGAAAGGCACAAAAGCACATACAACTCTGTTACATTATTAGCAACGCTAGTCAATTAATAGTATGACACATCGCATTAATAATCAAATCGAGCCTCAATAAGTGCAAAACTTTGCAAAAGAAGGTAAATAATTGGATAACTAAACAGCAATATATACACTCCTTATCATTGTTACCAAACTCACAAATTCACATTTCAAGTTTAATATTTTTACGTATTCAATTTACAAAATCATTTGGACTCGTTTTTAAACTCAGTTAAATTTATGAGTTTAATTATTGATTTTATGTTTTTAGTTTACAAAATCATGTCAACTCCTTAAATTCATACTAAATTTTTGAATTTGGTTGTGTCTTGACTTTACATATGAATTGCATAGAAATTTCTTTGTTAAATATGGTCAATTATGAACTTTGATGGATTTAATTTTAATTATGTGGATTTAAAATATATTTAAATAAAATTGTTGTTGTTTTTTATATTTTAATTATTTAATTATGTAATGTCAGTATCTACTTATAATAAAAGTAAACCCTATCACAAATTTGTTTAAACTTATGAGCTTGACAATTTTGCTTCTTATTATGGGAAACCTCTAGAAAGTATTTTTAGTTTTTTTTTTAAAGATTTCTTAATGGTTTTAATAAGTATTAAATATTTTTTTATATATGCCCATGTTTAATATGGGTAGTAAGAAAGATTATAAATTAATATGATACTGGCGTTTAATGTAGTTAATAAAGATAATGTTAAAAATCATTTAAATTTCATAACAAATTTAATACTTTTAAATTTTAAACTATTTTTATTAATGTCTCTGTGTGTGTGTGTCTATGCGCGCGCGCTCTTTGTGGAAAAATGTGTGAAAGGCACAACACAACAATTCTCTCTCATGTGTTTGTGTGTGTGTGTGTGTGTGTGTGTGTGTGTATTCATTGGTATCGATTTCTTGAATTATTTATTAGGCAATCAGGGATCTGATATGACGGTAAATTAAGATGCTGATTTATTCATACCACAATAGAGAGCCACTCTTTCTTCTATGGGAAAAGACCATTATCTTATGTCAATCAAACAGAGTAAAATGTAATTTAAATTACTATATGTCATCTGGCAACCGTGACATGCTATTAATCAGAGGAGTTACTCTATGTTGTCTAGGCCTAGCCACTCTATCTTCATATCCTTTGTATATAAGCTTCAATTAATCACTTTTTGTAAATTAATTAAGAAATTTAGTTAAAAAATTATTTATCGTAAAATTTCAAAATTATCATAATAAAATTGTTAATCATAGGAGTTAAGCTGATTAGTTAGGATGTTTAATTAAAATATGTTATATTTACAACACATTGAAGAGGGTATATATCTCAACAACATTTTTTTAAAGATACGATAGCCAACTTTTAACAGTAGTTGGCCAAAAAAAAAAAGTGAAAGGGATTCAACTCCAGCATTTAAAAAAAAAAAATTGAGGTCTCAAATATTGTGAATTAAAAAAATCATGGTGATTGAGATACTTTCGATCAGTTCTGACAATATTTAAATAGGATACAATAAAATTGAATATCAAATAATTACATTACAAAATACTATATATCTAAGTTGTTAACATTTAATCGATCTAAATGAGACATATTTGAAATTAAGGAGAGAGAAGAGACAATATAAAGAAACATGACTTCATAATATATATCTCGCGTCTTAAAGGTGCATCTCTCTCTTAACCTTTCATTCCCTTACAAAGAAATGTGATTAATATAGCTCAAGAATAGAGATGACATAAACAAGAACCACATTGATAGTTTTCTTCCACACATAATTGAAGAGAGATAGACATAATGGAGATGGGGTGTATATATATATATGTATATGTATATCTATGTGTGTGCCACTCTTTAGTACAAATAATTAGTTAAATAGATATTGGGGGAGTCTAGGCTCAGCCAGAGCAACAAGCGGGAACTTTCTCACAGTTGCCAACCCAAAAAGTTCTTCCATGTCCAAATCCTGCGGCTTCATATTCTGATCAGCAAGTCTCCAATTGAATCCATGCAACAAGTTGGCCAAGCCTGAACTTACCATCTTCAATCCAAGCTTATAACCCGGACACATCCTTCTCCCGGATCCAAAGGGCAGGAACTCAAAGTTCTGTCCCTTGAAATCAATCTCCTTCTTCTCCCCTAAGAATCTCTCTGGACAGAACTCTGCTGGACACTCCCATATTGAAGGGTCTCTGCTAATACTCCAAGCATTCACATACAACATTGTTCCTTTCTTGATGTCATAGCCTTCAACCTTGCAGTCCTCAAGAGCCATGTGTGGTGCAAGAAGCACAGCCACAGGATGAAGCCTCAGTGTTTCTTTAATGATTGCGTTTAAGTATGGAAGGTTTGGGATATCACTCTCTTCAACCCATCTTCCCCTTCCCACCACTCTGTCAATTTCTTCGTTTGCCTTCTTTAATATATTGGGATTCTTCATTAACTCTGACATTGCCCATTCCACTGTCGTTGCTGCTGTATCTGTCCCTCCAGCCATCTGGTCCTGATCATTATTATCAGTAAATCAAGCACACAAAACTATTATTTTCAAGCCAAATTATATGAACGCAGAAGATCATATTTAGGAGTAAGAGAAAAGAACACTAATACCAGAGCGAAGGCTTTGACACCGTTAAGAGTGAAATCAACTTCAAGAGAAGGATCCTTAACCAAACCCAGTAAGAAATCCAAGAAATCATTGGGCACAAAGCCGATCTGGGTTCTTCTAGCCATATGATCATCAATAACATGCTTATAAAATCTATCAAATCTCTTCCTCAGATCCTTCATTCTCTTGACATAGCCTTGCAAATCCAAGAATCCCAACCAAGGAATCCAGTCCCCAATATTGAACACCCCATTAAGCAAAAACAACTCCTCCAACATCTCTTGAAACCCCTCACGTGACACCACAAACTCCTCATCATCCTCCACCTTCGACTCACTAAAATACTTTTTCCCCATCACTATCCTACTAATTACACTCAGAGTAAAATGGAAGAGATGGTCTTTCAGAACAACGGGCTTCCCCGAAACAGCAAACAATCGAGACATAAACGCGTGTCTCTCTTGTGCGCGTATCTCATGATAAGACTCAAGTCCCTTTGAACTGAACAACTTTGTGAGATAAATCTTACGACCTAGACGCCACTGTGGCCCGTAAGGAGCCCAAGTGACGTTGGAATGGTCGTAACAAGTGTGTTTGCCCGAAGCAGTTTGGGGTCTGGTGGCAAAGACGTGATCGTGGGTTTTCAGAAACTGCTCCGCCATTTCACTGGAAGAAGCAACAACAACATGAAAGGATCCAAACTTGAGGCGCATGATGGGACCATATTTTTTGGACAAGTTGTGAAGGGACTGGTGAGGAAGCTCGCTGATTAGGTTTAGGTTTCCGATAATCGGCCAAGGTTTTGGACCTGGAGGAAGGTTAGGGTTTGGTCTCCGGAAGTGAAGTTTTGTGATGATGGCTAAGGAAATAAGAACAAGACATGACACTGCTATGGAAAACCAAGAAGAAAACTCCATGAAAATACTGAGCGTTTTATTAGGCAAGAGCTAGTCAGCCATGTTTATCGGCCTGGTCTTTCGAAATCTGCCCTTATATAATTGTGAGCTCATCATTAGTTGTTGACCTCTCTCTGTCTTCTCCAGTAGAGAACGGTAATGAGAAGCCGAAGGGCCAGGTCGGAGGAAAGTGTTCTGTGCTGCTCGTCATCTTCTCTTTTTCTCTTTTCTTTTCATTGTGACTTTTAAGGCTTCACTTTAATTATCATTATTGTCTGATCTTCATCAATTATTAGTGCCATGTGCTGCTTTTTGAAGTGGGGGCCCTAACAATATATTGATATCTTTTCACCAAATCTTATCTTGTCCGTAGCGGTTATCTTTTTGTGGCTTCTAGGCAGTAAAAGGGGATGTATTTCTATTACTAGCTCAAGAAAACTCGTATGGAGCCAATGAATATCGTAGCCAAGCGAAAAACCATCAATAGCGCTAAAAATGAAATGAAGAACAAATGAAACTAAACTAAACCCAGAAAATCAAAAACAAAACTCTGAATCGGGAAAAAAAAAAAAAATCTTTCTAGCCTTTAGTCACATCGACCGCCAGGATCTTAATAGAGAAGAGACTGTGACCTGCACCGGTTTGGATTCTCTCCTCACCTGGTTTCTTTTTTTCTTTCTCCTCATCCCATCCCTGACATTATTGAATTATATCGTACCAAATGAATAGTTGAGTTTTAAAAATTTATAAAGTTGTAATATTACATAAAAATAAATAAATTTAATTTGAACCTGAAAATAAAAGTATAATTGTTTTATGAAATATTGAATCTTAACCAGTCGTTTTTTGGGTGTTTATTTTGGGTTCGACCCCGCCTTTGATTGGTTTAGCCATTTTAATTAAGATATCCACCTAATTAACATATAAAATTTAAATTAGAATTTAATTTATTGTTGGATAAAGCATTTATTGCTAGATTGTTAATTTATAGGAAAGAAAATAATACTCTTCTAGTCCTTTTCCAACATATTTTATCCATGTTGAGAAAAGTTTAAAACTTAACTTTTTTAATTTAAAATATAATAATTTTTTAACTTTACTCTTATTTAATATATATATTTTTTAAAAATAACTATTTATACTGAAGAATAAATAATACATTTATACTAAAAATTTAATGATATGACTTATAAATAAGATTAAAAAAGCCTTTTCTCTCTAACTTATAAATAAAATCAGTTAAGTATTTCTTGACATTTAGGGAGTGTTTAGCAAGATGAAAAAGTGCTTTTCAAAAACACTTTTTTCACGAAACGAGACAGAGTTCTTCACATATTTACTTCGTATACTGTAAAAATACTTTTAAAACTATAGTTTAGCTTCCATTCAAACACGCTCTTAAAATATGCCAATGAAAAGCTTCCTAAAAGCCAGAATATGGGAGTAAATTATTACACCTTCCTAATACTATTTCATTATTTCTCTCTCTTTCTCTTTATAGGTGCATCTGCTTGTCTGAACATCAGTTATTCGACTTGTAGAGGTCGGAGGCTTTAACTAATATCCGAGCATGATCCGGACGGGGTGCGCTTTCCTTCTCTTCCTGATTTATTTTCTGGTATTTGGAATCCACTCAAAACGACACCAGGCAAGATCGAGCTTGCGAAGATGGTAGAATTAATACGTGTTTTCTTCTTTCTTGAAAGATAAGAAATGTAATAGAGAGGCTGATAATATAATCAATGAAGGCGCACTGTTCAAGGCCCTTTGTTATTCTATATATAGACAGGGTAAAAACCCTAGATTACAGGAGGAGCTTACACGTGTATTGTACAATGGGTCAGTAATATATTAAATCAAACAACTATAAGTTGGGCTTTATACATCTGGGCTTATATACTGGATCCAAAGCATTCTTAACATTCCCCGTCAAGCTGGGCCTTGGTGAATCTATAAGGCCTAGTTTGTCTCTAAATGCTCGAAACTTGGAATGGGATAGGGCCTTGGTGAAGACGTCGGCTAATTGCTCGGAAGAGGGAATGTACTGAACTGTGAGCTTCCAGTCTAACACTCTGTCCCTCAGATAATGAACATCAAGCTCAATGTGTTTCGATCGAGCGTGATAAACTGGGTTAGATGCTAAGGCAGCTGCACTCAAGTTGTCGCACCAGGCAATGGGAGGATGTTTTAGGTAGACCCCAAGCTCGCCGAACAGAGATTGAAACCATGCGAGTTCTGTAGCTAGATTTGCGAGAGCACGGTATTCTGACTCGGTTGAGGATCGTGCTACCACTTGCTGCTTTTTGGCTGACCAAGAAATTAACGAATCTCCCAGAAAAACACAGTAGCCGCCAATCGAACGCCGGTCATCAGGGCACACAGCCCAGTCGGCGTCGGAGAAGCCCTGCAAGCTGAGGTGAGTACTCGGTTTAATATGTAGAGCCAGATTTGTGGTCCCCTTTAGATATCTGAGAATCCGCTTGAGTGCTTGCCAATGTTGATCAGTTGGTGAGGAAAGAAATTGACTTAACTTATTGACGGCAAAAGTAATGTCAGGCCGAGTATTAATCAAATATTGTAGAGCTCCAATTGCTTGTCTGAATTCAGTTGGATTATTGAGAGGTGACCCTTCATTTTTGGCGTAGTGTCTATTTGTTACCATGGGTGTAGGTACTGATGAGCAATTTGTCATATTGAACCTGTCAAGAATAGCTGAAATATATTTGCTCTGCTTTAAATATAAGCCTGTATCATCTCTAAAGGCCTCAATGCCCAGAAAGTGATGAAGTCTACCTAGATCCTTTAAGGCAAACCGTGAATTGAGTTGTTTGATAAACAACTCAAGTACTTCAGATGAATTTCCTGTAATAACAATATCATCCACATATACTAGAACAAACAGGACAAACTCCTTGTGTTTGAGAAAGAACAAAGAAGTATCGCATTTAGAATGACAGAATCCCCAGTTCAACAAGGTAGACCTTAATTTTTCAAACCAGGCTCTAGGTGCTTGTCTTAAGCCATAGAGTGCTTTCTTTAGTAAACAGACATGATTAGGAAACTTAGATGATACGAAGCCTTCAGGTTGCTTCATTAAGACTTGCTCTTGCAGGTCACCATTTAAGAAAGCATTGTTGATATCAAGTTGTCTAATTTTCCACCCAAAAGTAACTGCCAGTGATAGTACAAACCTCAAGGTAGAAGTTTTCAGCACAGGACTAAAGGTTTCATCAAAATCTTCTCCAAACCTTTGTTGAAAGCCTTTGGCAACTAGTCTTGCTTTAGGTTTGTAACCAGATCCATCAGGTAGTTGTTTGGCCTTGAAAACCCATTTGCAATCGACAAGTTTCTTCTGTCCAGTATAAGGAATCATATCCCATGTATGATTCTTCATAAGAGCTTTGTATTCATTTATCATTGCTTGCTGCCACTGTGAAGAATTGAGTGCTTCTCGTACAGTTGTAGGCTCCTTTAGAATAATTGTCTCTGCTGTTACAGTTCCAATGTAGGGAAACTTGGGTTTGTAAATCCCTGCTTTACTTCGAGTCACCATTTGATGTCTGATTGGGGAATTATGTTGTGAGGATGATTCTATTGCCTGAATGTTCTCTTCGGCCTGTGTGCAGGAATTTTCTGGTGATCCATCGCCAGTTGATCCTGAAAGTTGATTAGTAGAGGCTTGCTCATATTCTACTTCATGTCCTGTTTGTGCAGAGTCACGTTCCATCATTGGGAGATAAGGGGTATGATCTGAAGGATCTGGAGGATCATTGAGACTGCTACATTGAGTGTTGTTATCAACACCATCAGCTGGACAGTATCTCGGCAGAGAGCATAGAGCAGATTGGAAGAAGGATTTCGGATGCACTTCTTCAACAGGTACCTCTTTCTTGTTCAGAAAACCTGTAGAAAAAGGAAAATCATGTTCATTAAAAGCTACATGGCGAGAAATGTAGATTCTTCCAGTAGGACTCAGGCACTTATATCCTTTATGATTGTTGCTGTAACCAATGAAGACACACTTAGTTGTTCTGAACTGTAGTTTGTGATCATTATAGGGTCTAAGGCATGGATAGCATGCTGTTCCAAATATTTTGAGATGTTCATAATCTGGAAGCTTGCCAGTAAGTCTGAAGAAAGGTGATATCCCTCCTAGAATCAGTGATGGTAATCGATTGATTAGTTCAGTTGCTGTATGAAAAGCTTCCCACCAATAGAATAAGGGCATCTTGGCTTGAGCTAGGAGAGTCAAACCCATTTCTACTATGTGCCTATGTTTCCTTTCTGCTCTCCCATTTTGTGGAGATGTGTGAGGGCAGGAATGCCTAAAATGTATGCCTGATTCTTGTAAAACCTTGGTAAACTTTCTATATTCACCTCCCCAGTCACTTTGAACAATTTTGATCTTACTTTCAAACTGTTTTTCAGCAAAATTCTTAAACTGGACAAACATGTGAAGAGCCTCATCCTTGGTTTTTAAAGGAAAAATCCAAGAATATCTGCTGTAATCATCAACAAAGAGAATATAATATCTGAAACCATTCATAGATTGAAGTGGTGAGGGTCCCCAAAGATCAGTGTGTATTAACTCAAGTGGTTTAGAAGCATGTGAGGTCGATACTTTGAAAGGTAAAGAATGCATTTTCCCATACTTGCAAGATTCACAAAAACTAGGCTCACTTTCATTAGACAATATTTTCAGATTACATTCTGCTATAATTCTGTTTAGAATCTTGTCACTAGGGTGACCAAGTCTACAATGCCAAAAAGTTTTACTAAATGCTTTAAAACTAGATGCTGTGTTAACAGCTTCTTCAGCAACTAAAACCAGATCTTCTTGTCTTCCTTTCCTCTTCAAGTCTAGAACTCGAAACATGCCTCCACTATTTGGCTTGCCCTGTAGTATTAACTGTCCTGTTACCTGATCCTTCACAGAAACACCATTTGTGTTAAAAATCACATTAGCCTTATTGTCATGAGCCACCTGATACACACTGAGTAAATTCCTTTTGATTTCAGGAGTATAAAGTATTCTGTTCAGCTTAACTTCTCTGTTATTGACATTTTTAATAGTTGAGGAACCCACTTTTTCAACACCAAGTCTAAAACCATCTCCTACTACAATATTCATCTTACCATTGGTTTCAGCAGCATTGTCAATTTTGTTGATATCGTTGGTCACATGACTTGTTGCT